AGTATTTTAGTATTAATATATATTCATACAAGAGTTTTAAAAAAAATGTTTTAAACTTGAGAAAAATATGTTGTGTTCAAGATTATAATTATGTTGTAAAAAGGTATTATTAATAAAAATTTAATGTAAAAATAATGTGTTAATTTGTATATATAAAAAGGACATGATAAGTAAAAAGGTTTGAAAGAATTAAAAAGGCTTTAGGGTTTTAGGCCCAAACTGAAACGAGGGGAAACTGAAGTAAAAAAGGGGGTGTTCTGATGGAATACATTTGGGCTTAAGGGATAGAAAAAACAAAGGCCCAAACATTTTAACAATGTTTTAGGGTTGCTGATTATTGTTTCATTATGGAAAACTTGGGGTTCGTGAAACAGAAGCGACGCCGTTCGTTTCGCTCGTTCCTCTTCGTCTTTCTTTCGTACGCCTCCGCCTTTGAGCTTCTCCTTCGCCCAAGCCACCAGCGCAACCATCCTTCCTCTTCCCTCCATGGAGCATCCAGGCAACAGTTTAAAAGGTAGATTTCCCGTTTCAATCTTGTTTAGGGTTTTCGTTATTGTTTGATTTCATGTTTTGATTTGAGTTCTGATTTAAGTATTTTGTTTGCCATTTTGAAATGCATGCAAAGGGTATGAGAAGACTACCTCTTGGGGACGGAGGAGGAGGAGATTAGGAGGCGCGTGGAGTGGCTTGGGCAGGAACGCGCGATGTTGAACGTTTGAGCTAGCTTGGAGCCCTGGTATTTCGTGTTTCGCCTTTAGGTTTTGTGATGCATTTCTGAAAACCTCTGTACAACTTTTTTCTCTTCTATATCTTTTTGCCTCGCTTCTGTTGCCCTTTGAATTGTTGAGTTGTCTGTTATGTCCGCCTATGATGAGAGTTCTCTGAGGCCTTGTGTTGCCTTGAATTCTTAGGTTTCTAGTTCATGTTTGTTGGCTTCAGCAGGCTGTTAGCTTGGTTCAGGTTTGGGAGGCCTTTAGGTTCTGTTTATGCAGTGTGTTTGAAATCACAGGTTTTAGGTTTATGGGACTTCAACAGGTTGAGGGTTTATGTGTGAACTTACAGGTTTTGTTGACAGTGGTCTTTGCTTCAGGCTTGTGGCTTCAGCAGGTTATTTGGGTGTTTAGGCTTTTTTGGTTTACTGGTTGTGGCTTGGACCATTTGTGGTTATTACTTTGCAGGTCCAAGGTTTAAAGGCTAGAGGCTTTTTGTTTTGCTTCAGCAGGTTTTTTGATGGTTAAGGGTTGTGTTGCAGCTTATACTGGTTTTTGAGCTTCCAGGTTTTTGACAGTTTTATGTTTTTGCGTGAGGTTTGGATGGTTTGTGGTTATGTCCACTGGTTTAAGGCTTGTGCTGTCTTTGATATCTGTTTAGGCTTTTGGCGCCTCTGATTTTGAATGCTTCAGGTTTGATATATTTTCTTGGTCAAACTGGTGGGCAGGTTTGCAAGGCTTGAGAATTTCACTCTTTGTGATCACCTCTGCTGCATATGTTTTGTCTCTTTTTGCATAGCTCTAATACATGCCTTTTTTAGCCTTCAGCTTGCTGTAACATAATCTGCTTTCCTCTCTCTTTCTCTCTCTTGACAAATTTTAAGCATTTAATATTGTTTACATTTGTCTTTTCTGGAAAAAAAACAAATGGTTGGAAAGTGATGAAATGGAACTAGCTTGCTTGCATAGGTAGTTTTGTCTGTGTACTGCTTCCGTATTTTCCTGCATCTTTGTGACAGTTTCTTGAGGCTTTGGCATCTTGGGTATCTTTTGGGCAGCTGTGCACCTTTTGGCAGCTTTTTGACAATTTGCTTTGACATTGGAACTCAGTTTGCCTTTGGATTTATACTTGCATATGTTGTTTGTTTTGAACTATGCAGGTTTTGAATTATGCAGCATGCTTAAGAATTTTGAATTTGTGCAAAACTCATAACTTTGTGCATTCATGTTTCATTGCAAGCATTCCATCCTTCTTTGTGAACCGGGAGAAATCCCGCGATTTGCAAAGAGGGTAAAACTGATTCCGGCCATTTGTTTTTAATGATGAACCTTTTTTATCTGTCTGCTTTAACTATTTTTCTCTGCTTTGACTTTTTCTTCTTTTCTTATTCTTTGCAGATAAAAATCAAAAGAGCATTAAGGGAGCATTGGATAGAAGATGAAGATTTAGAATTTTTAGGACATTGTTTTATTTCAATTTAAATTACTGTAACATTATTATTATAAACATTTTTGTAAACAATAACAATTATACAAATAATTTAAAGATAAATAAAAGTCCTTTTATTGACCAATCAAATCTTTTTATTCCCTTTCAATTATTGTAATCATCATTAGAATACTTTGTAAAATACTGTATTCAAATAATAATTGTAACGAATAATTGAAGATAAATAAAAAATCCAACTTGATCAATTAATTCTTCTTTCAGTTCAATGTTCATTTAATTATCTGAATTTCTTAAAATTAAAATAACTGGAAGTATCCAATTATTCTGACTTTAGAAAAATAATTAACAAACACTGTGGCCTTATCATTGAGTAATAAACCTGGCGCTTCAAGTATCTGATGCACAGTTAATCAAACCAATATCCAGATATTTATCCTTTTACTGATCAAATCAATCACTGTAGATTCTTAATTTAAACGCCTCAACTTTTATCTCATCTCAAATCAAGTGCTTTAGCCTTTACTGATTAAACAACAATCTGCAATTTTCTTGATTCAAACTCCTCAATCCAAATTTCAGAGTAAACTGAAAAGAAACTGTAAAGATAATATTTTCTGAGAAATACGCGCACAAAACCCTAGTTCTTGATTAAAAGCCAAAGAAACGTCCGCCTGATCAAAACTTGAGCTAAAATCAACCAAACCCTAAGCAAACTGTTTGAACTGTTCCAGAGCCATGAAAACCAATAAAAACCCTAATTTTGTCTGACTGACGAGAAAAGTATGTTTGACTGATTCTTGAGTCAGTCTGAAAAATCAGGAAAAGCCTGAAGCTGTGATTTCTTAAGGAAAAATACGAGGGCAAATTTTGGGGTACAACACATGGGATAGCTTTATTTGAGGTATATGGGATGGGACCCGGAGCGGTGATTATTAACGGAGCAATTCTTGGAACGGGTGTAACCCTAACAGGTTTTCTCGAGGAAACCTTGGAAGGGTTGGCGAAAATGGTGATAATGGCAACATCTTTAAACGGAACCCTAGTCTTCTGAACAAAATTTCCTTATTATCCATCAGGCTCTGAATGCCTGACTTCAATAAACAGCAACCAGAAGGTAGAATTGAACATATAGGGCAACCTTCGCCACAACCCGGAAATAAATCGGCCAACAACAAATTCTTCTTAACTGTCATCAAAGGAGTAGATATTTCTTCCACAGTTGTTATAAAAAATCGGTGTCCACAGCATTGACTCTGCGACCATGCTTAGGCATAGGGGCAGTTATAACGTTGGGCTTTTCCGGAGCATCGAACTCAATCTCTTTAGCTTCCAGCAAATCTTGCACTTTATTCCTAAGAGCCTGACAATCGTTTGTATCGTGACCTGGACTTTCTGAGTGATAGGCGCAGCGGGCATTCACTACAAGAAAATTAGTGTTTAACGACACAAAAATTGCGACAGTTATGTGATAACTGTCATAATTGACATATAGAGACAGTGTTTACGACAGTTGACACCAACCGTCCCTAATATTTATTTTGCGACGGTATATTTAACCATCATAATATTATTATTACGACGGTAAAACAACCGTCGGCCCCCATTTAACACTTTTAACATTGATTTTTCACCAACAACTAGTCACGACGGTAAAATTAACCGTCCTAAAAGGCATATCACGACGGTAAAGCACCCGTCGCACCCTTAAACCTTTCACGACGGTAAAATTATCCGTCCTAAAATTCATTTCACGACGGTAAAACAACCGTCGCACCCAAAACCTTTAAAAATTCTCATGAGCACGACGGTAAAACACCCGTCGCGGTAAAACAATTTTTTTTTGAGATTTATATAAATTTGATTTTATATCCATCATTAACACATTCAAATATAACATGAAATTAAAATTTAGATTTACAAATTATGAACCCTAAAATATATTATCTAATGTCTAGTACTAAAAAAGATCTTAGATTATCAACACAATATCGCTACTTTTTTTTATTCTTTTACTTTCCCACTTTTTTTCAGCAACACAATATCATAATATCAACACAATATCATAATATTTTCAGCAACTAATATTTATTATTAAATTATAAACAAAATACAACAAATAAAAATATAAAAAAACAAAATAGGAGTAACAAACAAAATTGAAAGAGGATTAGGTTTTGTGAAAGAGCTTTTTATCCAATTGAAGCAAAGAACCACCGCCGGAAGTACGATGTTGCGCCTAGAATGGTGAAGCTTCCATTCTTCGAAATTATCCCTTTGTCCTCTTTGTCTTGATGCCACGCTTCCAAATCTGCCTTTGGTTTTCATAAATCCTCGTTCTTCCAAAATCTAATCAACAGTAGAAACCTTAGGAGCTTCAAGACGCAATTAAATGGCAGAGAAGGAGTTTCAGCAGGCGATTCCCGGGGCTTCATCCCTTTTCATCTAAGCAGACATTTCATTCCTTTTATCTACGCTCAAACGCAAACCCCAGCGAAGCAAGAATTGCATCTCGACACCATGAACGGATGGGAAGAAGAGTGTTAGACAACCGATCTCAACGGATTCAAAGACGGTTGTAAAGATGATTCTCGGCGACGAAAGATTCAAAGGTATCGTTACTTCTTCTTTCTTACTTGTTTTTCCATATCTTCTTTTATGAGTTCGACGGAATCCGGTCGATTCTGTTTCTGTTTGCAGTTGATGAAAACGATCGATGACGCATAAAGGTTTAGGATGCGGATTGTTACTCTTCATGGTGAAGCGTCGAAGAAGATGTGTTGTCGATTCATTATGAGCCGCGGAGGAAACTGCCGAAAACCATTAACAATATCATCATCATCATGATAATTGATCAAGGTGACAAAGAAGTTCAAAACACATCATTGAACAAATATGCTTTGGCTTGTGCCCTTGTTGCTTCAATGGTTTCCATTGTCTCTGGCTATGGTAATATTATCACATTCTCTAATCTTTTTCACTTTTTTTTTAATTTCATTTCCCTATCCAACAAAATTGAAGAGAGGTTTTCTAATATATCTTATTATATTTTATGTAAAATGTAAGGTGTGTGACTACTAATTGACTATTCGTGAATTTAGTAGTCATGTATGTATTATTCAATCATTTATATCGAGTCATTTTTTTATAATAACTATTCTACATTAATGATTAATTTCAGATACCGGTGTTATGAGTGGAGCAATGATTTTCATAAAAGAGGATTTGGGAATCAGTGACACACAACAAGAAATTCTAGCAGGAATCTTAAATGTATGTGCATTAGTTGGATCCTTAACAGCTGGAAGAACTTCTGATGTCATTGGTCGTCGATACACAATCTTCTTAGCCTCTATACTCTTCATCATTGGTGCAATTCTAATGGGTTACGGTCCAAACTACGCTGTTATAATGTAGGCGTTTTGGGGGAAGGATGTAACCCGAAGCTATTCATTTACTGTGAAATAGTTACTTAAGAATTGTGTTTGTGTATTTCTGTTTATGCATTCTACTTTTTATGTCATGGTATCTCAAGTGCTGAATTCATTTGCAGCTTATTGATGTTGGCTTCTTTGTCTGTTTCAATTCCTTTCTGTCATTGTTAACTGTGATGCCAACAAGGGTGGTAATGATCGTTTGGAAGCTTCTGAAAACAAGGTTTGCCACCTTTCTTCATGATCTGTCATAATACTTTGATGTCATTCAGTGCACCTGTTAGGATTTAGATGATATACTTATCCCTTTGCATCTTTTTGTTTAGTTTAGAGTTTTCACTTGAGCTGTGAGCATTTAGTTCAATTTTGTATTCAATTTCCAAAATTGTATTAAATTTACGAAGGAAATTGAACATGGTTCGTTTTTGTTGACTCGTAAAAAGGATTTAGATTGGTTTAATGAGACAATCTACCCTGATTTTGTGTTTACCAAAAAAGTTGAATCTATCACATACTTAATGATATGGTCTGCTAATTCATGTGCTTTGATTTGTTGGCTCTTCTACTAATTCTCATGTTTAAAAAATTTGGTGGTGATTCATGATTTCAGTTTAATTATTTAATTTAATACTATCAACATGACCTCGTCATGCTCATGGCAGGAAGTTCAAGAGGCTGTCTCCAGTTGAATTGTCGGATTTTGGCTATTTTATTATTATGGCTTGTGGAATCACTGTTTTGCAGCAAATAGGTTTAGTTCCATATACATATTTCTGTTTTGAATTATCAGGTTGTTTCTTATGCTGAAATTGGTGTTATGCTCACCACTCCTAATTTTTTGTTGTTTTAGATATCAGCTTCATATATCATATAATCCGTGGTCAAGCAACAATCAAACTGTATGTGTCTCACCATAAGGAGTTCAACTGCTCAGATCCAGTAGAGGCATCATAGTCATCACCAGCTTCGTTGTCACAGTCCATATCAAAATCAAATAAAGAGAAGCCACCACCCAGAATTTGAGCCCGCTGAACTATGGTCTATGTCTAGCATGCTTAAAAATTCATTTGCAACCGATTCTGTAACATCGTCTAAGCTATCTGTCTTTCTCATCTTATATTCAGTTCTGAATTCCAATTTTTTTGGAGATTCTAGAGCCACCGTCTCCAAATCTGAGACACTATTTATAGCAGCTTCTAATTCTTGCAGCAGTTCATTTGTGAATAAATCATCATCTTCGTAAGCAGATTCATCGGCCACCGTGTGATCCTTACAACCGTCATTTGCCTCATGAAGAGAATCATGTATAAAACTATCTTCGGAAGAAACTTGTAAACCTGCAGTATCTAGGATAAGAGAACTATCAACTGTAGAAGCATCTTCAGAAGCCTCTGTGAATGATTCCTCTACTTTAACGGGTTCAATTGGTGAGATTTCTATACCTTTATCAACGACAGAAAAATCCTTATCTTGACAGTCTTCGGGGTTTTCTTTTTCAGAATCAAGTAAAAGATAGCCATCTTGTTTATCTGTCTCTAGGTTTTCATGAAATACATCGAGTTCAGGTGTGTCAAGCACTGGAGATGTATTTCCATCGTTATCTACATGCACTTCCTGCATTTCTTTTTCAATATCAGATGAAGCACACGCATCTGGTTTAATTAGCTCAATATTTTCTTTTGACAAATCAGGATCAGGTTTGTTGTCCACCGATCTGCTTTCTTTTTCCTCGTCAAATTTCTTATATAAGACGCCTATTGAGCTGGCTAGTGCAGACTTAGAAGATGGCAACACCTCATGAAGATCCTTTACCGACTCTACACCGGTGAAGAATAAATCTGAGAGTGAGAAACAATTATAAAGTTAGTTGAAGCTTGTTAGGGTTAGTTTAGGAATTTCCGTTATCACTCCTAAGAAAGAGTTAGCTGAGTTCAATTGTAGGTGGTTATGGTAAGTTGTCATAAGCTGTCAAGGAAATGTATTTTAATCCTTTCCTCTTACAGACTTGATTCCTTCTGATTTTTATATTTTCTTATTTAATGTGCTGGCATAAATAGTTAGCTTTTGAATTGTTAAAGGAAGGATTGTTAAAGGTTAAGTCTAATGTTGAACCTCTAGTAGTAGTTTCGAACGTGCCTAATATGACTCGAGTCTGATTTCTGTTTTTTCAGGGAAAGGTTGGTTAAATTGCAAGGCTAACTCAGATGAAAGGTTGAGCTGGTAAGATGCGAACTCTACGAAGTTAATTGTTTTTAATTTTTGCTTCTGGTTTTCTATTAGTGATTGGAAAGGTTTGATTATCAGAGGTTTAGGTTCAAGTGAATCAAGATTGGACTGGATGAATTGAACCGTTGCAAATCGGTTTTTGTTTATGGATCAAACTGGTTTAAAGGCTGAATTAAATGAAGTATGATTGAATGATTTCTTTAGTATGTCCATTGTGTATAATGAACTGAACTGGATATGGTTAATTTTGTATATATGCATGGCTGATTTATATGTTAGGCTATGGTTAAATATGGAACCATTAATCCTTGTACAGTAGGTTGAGTATGCTAGAGGTATTTTGAATGTTGAAATTGGATGTATGATGTGTATGGGCTGTTTATTTATGGTTGCGGGTCTGCTTCTATTTAAATATCAATTGGCTTATGTTTTCTTTTGTTTTGACGCTAATTCCATCGGTGGAATTAATGCAAAACTGTCTTGGTCTTATGCAGGTTTTGTTCATGGCATGATTCATGGATTTTTGTTGCACGGCGCTTATCATGAAGTTGATGAATATGTGAAGCCACATTAGAGTGCAGAAGCTTGAGTTAAAGCACGATTAAGTTAAGACATGTGAAACCTTTATATTGTGAAAGAAATTAGGAGCTGAATACATAACTCAGTTGAAAAGTTTCTAGAAGTTAGAAGTTTGTTTAAACTTGCCCTAAGATATTGCCTATGTTTTGTGTGAATCTTGCAGGCTGCTAGGTATGCGTAGTTTGGACCAAATGGTAGTCAAGGAAGGATCATGGTCCTAGCATGGAAGTTTAACACAAAATCACTTAACACTAAGGACTTTCATGAATTTTGTAGAATATTGTAACATTTTTTGTAATTCTCTCAAGTTGTAGCAAACCAATGTAAATATTAAAATGAAATTTGGCCTTTGATGATATTTGAATTTTTCTTGTTTATTGGTAAAATTTGCACTTCTTTTTACCTTTGATCACATTTTTTTGATATTATTGATGATTATTTGATATTATTGATGATTATTTGATATTAAATGTTTTTATTGTAATTAACTTTATTATGTTGAAAAGTGATAGAAAATAAAATAAAAATACTATAAATAAAAAAATATTAAAGTAAATAATAATTTAAATATAATAGTAAAATATTATAGTAAAATAATATTATATTTAAAATTATTTTACTAAATAATAATTTAAATAAAAATATTATTTGAAATTTATAAATCAGATTACGACGGTTAAAACCGTCGCAATTTCTAACCTACGGCGGTAGAATAACCGTCGCAAACAACAACAAAAACAAAAAATAAAGTCAAATTCACGACGGTATATAACCGTCGCTATCTGTTGTGCGTGACAGTTTTTGCAACCGTCGCGAAATAGGCTGGGGACACACGATTCTGCGACGGTACTTCTACCGTCGTAGATTGTAAATTGCGACGGTTTTAACCGTCGTAATCAGCCAAAATAACCGTCCTAATCTATCATTTTTCTTGTAGTGATTGGGATTGTATCGGGGAGAAGCAGTATTGGGATTCTTGGGAGCCTCTTTCAAGGTTGCCAAGTTGGACTTTAACAGATGAGGCAGAACTTCAGCCAAAGTCATGTTGATGCGGGTAAACTGCCGTTGTGGTATTTCTACCCTTTGCTGATTATTGCATTGTGGAGCAACTGTTGGTCTTGATATCACAACAGAATTTACCACTTGACGGTTTTCAGGTCTACTTTGGCCCCTCGGGCCGTAGACTGCGCTAGCTTCCTTCTTACCGGTGAAAGGCTTCTTTACTGCACTTGACGAAGCATCCTTTTGTATCTTACCATTTGAATGCCAGCTTCTACTCTCTCTCCAGTCAAGATCAACTCAATAAACCCAGATGACGAACTGCCGATCAGATGATTGAAAAATGGACCAGATAGCGTCCTTAGAAACATGTCAACCAACTCCCTATTAGACAAAGAGGGTTGGACTCTTCCAGTCAAGTCTCTCCACTTTTGAGCATAGTCCTTAAAACCTTCACTTGTGCCCATAGACATACCTTGGAGTTGAGTACGAGTGGGAGCAAGGTCAGCATTATACTGATATTGCCTGTAAAAAGCAGCAGCAAGGTCTTCCGAGTTTCGAACACTGGCTCCTTCCAACTGATAAAACCATTCAAGCTGAGTCCCTGACAGGCATTCTTGAAAGAATTGTACCCACAAATTTCTATCCGCAGTGTGAGGTTGGATTTTTCTGACGTACGAGCGGAGATGGAGTTTTGGACAGGATACTCCATCATACTTGGCAAAAATCAGGGCTTTGAACTTATGAGGGATCACCACTCCCAATACCAGTCCCAGCTCTCTGAAATCTAAACTAGGGATCTTCTGAATCTCCAAAGCACTCAGACGGTCTTCTAGCTGCTTGTACCTATCCTCAACAGGAGGATATTGCTCCTCATTGTAATCTGTATCGTTATCAGAAACTGCAGGACTATGGTCCTTTGTCCTTTCTTGGTTCTCCCTGTATTTGGATGAGGAGGTCAGATCAGCTGATTGTCTTATCCTTTCTCCGAATATTTTACCCATGTTCAGAATACCAACCTTCTTCTTCTTCTTCTCTTTCAGAATAAGGGTCTTCAGGTCCTCTTGCCCTTTAGCCATACTTAGGAACATCTATTGGAATTGGGCGTTTTGTGCCTGAAGATCTTTGATGGCTTGATCAGAAGACATTTCTGCTGAAATAAACAGCGAAGAATATGAGAAACCTGTAATGGTACCTGTAATGGTGTGCATGATAATGGGATGCGCATGTAATGATTTCAAAGACTTTGGGAAATTTAAATTTGCCAACCAAAAAATAAACAAACTTTATTAGATTAACTTGTAAAAGGTTCAACAATGCCTTTAAGGCGTTACAAAGAAATAAATGGAAAACAAATCTAAACTAGAAAAAGCAAAATCAAAAGTCTCATGGACGCTTCCTCTTTGTGCCGATGTAGTCATTGATTACTCTTTCTTCCTCGAGCTGCCTGGTGAGCTTCAAAATCTTCCTTTCTTGCTCATGGTACTTTTCCCGGTAAGTATCCCTCTCCTCTTTCAGCTGAATCCAAGACCTCTGTAACGCCCCAGCATCAGTGGGCATGTAAGGATAAAGAACTGTGTAAGGAACGCCTTCTTCATTAGTGGGTTCTACAATCACTGGCAATACGGCTTCATAGGGCATCCCAAGCTTCTGGGCACGAGCTCGGACCCAATGGAGGTAAGGATGCATAGGAAGGGAAGTCCTTGGTCCCAGCTCTTGGGGGTCAGATCTGTTTACCATGCCCCAAGCTCGTATAAACCTCTGGCGGTGCTTCTCAATGTCCTCCTTGTAGTAAAATGCAATATCCTTAAGAAGTAGCTCATGGGGACCATCTCTCCGAGCACGACCAAATTGTCGCAAAGCTATACAAGGATTATAAGTTATACCCCCTCTGATTCCAAGCAATGGGACATTAGGATATCCCCCACAACGGTCAATAACAATAGTGTCCTCCATAGCCCGGGAACACCAAAGAATATCTGTGTGGGCAAGTGACATTATTCTGTAGGACCATCCCAAACCTTCTTCGTTCTTCAGCACAGACTTAGGGAGGTGTGAAATAAACCACCTCGGCAGCAACAGTATGCAACACATAAGAGTCCCTCTTCTTCGCACAGTACGAGTGTAGAGGGCATGCAAGATATCACCCA